GTCTCAAAACAAGATCAAAAAGACTTTTTGGCTGGATGTAAGATTTTAAAACTTGGTTAGATGGACAGTTTTTGCAGTGTGTTGTTGCCAAGGAGTTCCAAAATCATTTAGAGAATGTAAAGAAAGACAAATGTTATTAAACAAAGTCACATTTTGTTGGTCATGGGAAATGTTCGATGCATCTTACATCATTTTTTATATAGATGTTCTTTTCTAATGTAAATGTGTAGGAAGAACATGTAACCTTACTAAACAATGTTCTGCAGAAAGAATTAATCACTGTGCATTGTTAGACATGACACAAAGTTTTTGTTGTATTTCAAATATTTCTTGTGAATGTTGTTGGCCAAGGTGTTCCAACATTATTTGGAGAATGTAAAGAAAGACAAATAAATGTTACCAAACAAAGTCACATTTTGTTGGTCATGGTAAATGTTCCTTCTTGCATCTTACATCCTCTGTCTCTTCAGAAATATATAGATGTCATTTGCCTCTGCAAATGTAGAAGGTGCAGGAACTGCATTTCTGTTCAGGGCACTTGTGAAGTCTTGGACCAGCATGAGGTATGCAGCAAGGCAACCATCAGGTGTGCATGGTAGTTGACTGTTTCCCAAAATGGTCTGGCACAGGTCTCTAAATTCCTGGTTGGCAACCAGTGAAGGCTCTTCTCTGTCACAGATGAATTGCTTGGCGTAGTCCAAGAGGTCTGCGTCAACTATGTGCAGCACATCTCCATATCCNATCAAAACCTGTTCAATACTTAATAGTTCACATTCACAACTTGTCTTATTCAAAACCAGGCCATGATGGAGTCTGGCATCCTTGAACTGGACAACCCTGTACATACTGTATGTAAGTCAAGGTTTGTCACATAATTAAGCAGCAATATGAAAGTAAGCAAACTGGGAATTCCTTTGGTTTAATTTGTCCTTATTAAAAATTGGTATTGTTTAATCTGTAAAGCAACATCAAATAAACTGGAAATAAATGGCGTAGTCCAAGAGGTCTGCGTCAACTATGTGCAGCACATCTCCATTTCCTTTAAATACAAGAATAATAATGGAGATTTTGAAGAAAGAAAGAAAGAAAGAAGAAAAATGGAAATAAATGGGTGGTTTGATTGAAGGTAGTGTTCAGATTACATTTTTCTTCTTTCTTTCTTTCTTTCTTCAAAATCTCCATTATTATTCTTGTATTTAAAGGAAATGGAGATGTGCTGCACATAGTTGACGCAGACCTCTTGGACTACGCCATTTATTTCCAGTTTATTTGATGTTGCTTTACAGATTAAACAAAACCAATTTTTAATAAGGACAAATTAAACCAAAGGAATTCCCAGTTTGCTTACTTTCATATTGCTGCTTAATTATGTGACAAACCTTGACTTACATATGTACAGGGTTGTCCAGTTCAAGGATGCCAGACTCCATCATGGCCTGGTTTTGAATAAGACAAGTTGTGAATGTGAACTATTAAGTATTGAACAGGTTTTGATTTTCAACTATAATTAAATCACACCTCATATTAGGCTAAAAATTAAGAAATTACAGATTACAAAAGGTCATTCTTTTAGTTGTATTTTTACATTTTAGTACTGCTACTCAAACATATGAACACAAGATCCCTTCAGAATGACATTTTGACTGTGTTTAAAAATTAGGTTTGAGAGAATTTTCTTTAATTTATTCACAAATATATACATACAGTATATATTTGTTTGCACCACAAACACTAATAATTTAATTTGTGTAATTTCCCACTGGGATCAATAAAGT